AACTATGGGGAGGAAGTGGGAGGGGAGCTGTTGCATTGTGGTAAACTGTGGTCAATGTCATGAGACAAAGTATATGTGAACTGCTGTATGGAGAGTTAATTTGCTCTGTAAATCTTCACCCAAATCACAATTTAAAAAAAAATCCTCAACAAAGTATTAGCAAACCAAATCTAAACCATATTAAAAAGATTATACATCATGACCAAGTGAGGCTTATCCTAAGAATGCAAGGGTGGTTCAACATTAGAAAATCAGTAAGTATGATATGTTACATTAACAAACAAAGGAAAAGAACCACATGATTATCTCAATAGATGCAGAAAAGGCACCTGACAAAATTCAACACTCTTTCACGATAAACATTTAACAAGCTAGGATAGAAGGAAAGTCCTCAGTGTGGGAGAGCACTGACGACGAAAGCACAGCTATCATTGTATTCCACAGAGAAAGACTGAAAGCTTTCCCCATAAGATCAGGAACAAGACAGGATGCCCTCTCTCACTATCCCTCTTCAATATTGTATTAGAAGACCTAGCCAGAGAAATTACGCAAGAAAAAGATATAAAACATATCCAAATCACAAGGAAGAAGTAAAACTATCCCTTTTGATGACTGACATGATCCTATATGTAGGAGACCCCTCAAGAAAGCTACTAGTGGTAGTAAGTGAATTGAGTAAAGTGGCAAGATACAAGGTCAACACACACAAATCAATCAGGTTTTTATACATCAACGATGAGCAATCAGAGAAAGAAATAAACAATTCCATATACAACAGTGTCTGGAAGAATAAACTACCTAGGAACAAATTTAACCAAGGAAGTGGAAGACTTGTACACTGAAAACTCTAAGATACTACCGTAAGAAAGACCAAATGACATTCAGTGTTCACCATCAGAAGACTTTTAATATTGTTGAAATGTTAAAACCATCTAAATTAATCTATAGTCAATGCAAAACCTATCAAAATGCTAACAGCTGCCTTTGCAGAAACAGAAAAAATAATCCTCAAATTTATATGAAACTTCAAGGGGCCCCAAATAGCCAAAGCAATCTTGAAAAAGTATAGGACTCACACTTTCTAATCTCAAAACATAAAGCTACAGCAGACAAAACAGTCTCATACTGACTCACTGGATCCAGTGAGATGGAGGGAACCCCTGAACCTACGGCCTAGAAATAATTTTAAATTGTGAATTTAAACTATCCTATGACGTCATTGTTAAACTGAAACAGTTGAGCTCAATTAAGAATCTTCACCTTTAGTACTGTGCTTCTATAAGAATTATCTACTGCATTTAAGCTGGCAACAGTTAATCTAAAGCACAGAGAAGAACTAAATTAATGGTGATATAATAATACGGGTAGAAATAGTGAGAATGGTGACACAAAGTCTATGTAGCCAATACTACTGAAGACATGTAGAAATTGTGGACAGATGTACCAATGAAACAGAATTAAGAGTCCAGAAATACACCTGTATGTTTATTGTCAACTGGTTTTCAACAAGTATGCTAAGTCTATCCAATAAGGAAAGAACTCTTTAATAAGTGATACTGGGAAAACTGGATTTACCACAAAGAAAAGAATGAACCTGGACTAATGCCTCACACCATATGCAAAAATGAACTCAAAATGGATCAGGGACCTAAATAAAACTCTTAGAAGTTAGGGCTATATGGGGGGGGGGGGGTAAGGCTTTGGGATCTAGTCTTCAGCCATAGGTTTTTAGATATGACACCAAAAGCAGGCAAAACAAAAGACAACGTAAAGTGCACATCAAAATAAAAATCTTTTGTTCATCACAGGACTTTAGGAACACAATGAAGAGACAGGCCAGACTGGCCAGAGTAACAACAACAATATAATATAATATAATAATATAAGGAACTTCGACAATTTAATACAAAAGGACAACCCAGTTAAAAACAGGGCAAAAGACTGGAATAAACATTTCATCAAAGAAGAAACATAAATGGCCAACAAGCACATGAAAAGACCCTGAACATCATTAGTCATTAGTGAAATACAAACCAAAGCCACAAGAAGATACTACTTCTCACCCACTAAGATGGCTATGTTTTTTTTTAAAAAAAAAAAAACAACAACAGGGGCTCAGGCTGTGAAGAAACTGTAACTCTCATCCATTGCTGGGAGGGCAGTAAAATGGTGTAGCCACTGTGGAGGTTTCTCAAAAAGTTAAAACAGAGTTATTGTGAAACCCAGCGATTCCACTCCTGGGTATGTATAAACCTGGAGGAAGTGAAAACAAGAAACTTGCCAAAACATCCAGCACTATTCATGAGAGCCAAGAGGTAAAACAATTTAAATATCCATCAGTGATGAATGGATAAACAAAATGTAGATTATCTACACCATGGAATATTACTCAGCCATAAAAAGAAATGCAGTCCCAATACATGCTATGACACGGATAAACCTTGAAAACATCATGCTGAGTGACATAATTCAATCACAAAAGGATAAATACTTAAAAAAGACCAGGTGTGCTGGTCTGATAGAGCCTGGTGAGCACCCCTGGGACTATGCCCCCTAGTTACCCTTCAGGTCTAGAACCGAACTCACTCCTGTGGCTTCGAGCCAAATGATAAACAGGCCTATGAGGTGAACATTTACATCAGTCAGGTAGATATGCTCCTTGGAGTGATCGATCAATCGTGGGAGAACAGAAAAGCAATGTTTGTACAGAGACACCTGGGGTTTGGGGGCAGGAGTACAAGGGACGGAAGGACACAGGGAAGAGGTGATTATGGGGAGGAAGTGGAAGGAGAGCTGTTACATTGTGGGGAATTGCAGTCAATGTCATGAAAGAAAATGTGTATGAACTGCTGTATGGAAAATGAATTTGCTCTGTAAACTTTCACCCAAATCACAATAAAAATTTTTAAAAAAGGACAAATACTGTATGATCCCCTTATATGAGTTATCTAGAGTATGTAAGTATATAGATAACAAAGTTTATTGGTGGTCATCAAGGGTGTAAGGAAGGAGGAAGGGGAATCGTTGCTTAGAGGGCACTGAGCTGTTAAGGGTGATGAAAAAAAATGTGAACAGATAATGGTGATGTTTGAAGAACAAAATGGTGATTAACATCACTGAACTATACCTATGAAAAATGTTGACATGGCAAATATTTTGCTATGTGCATACTGACTACCAAAAATAAATTTAAAAAACTCTCTCTGATGGCTTCCAGCTGCTCCTTCCTTCCATCCCACCCCATACCCCACTGACTCCTGACCTGACCTCATGCTGGATGCCATTCCCCAAACCACCTCTCCCCAGGCCAGGCAGCGGCCTTACTTCTTCTCCGGGTACGGCTCAAAGGACTCATCAGACGACGGTGCATTCTGCTTCTTGTCATGCTCGTCGCCACTCAGGAAGTCTCTGAGGAGGACAGAAGACCCTCAGCCAGGCCCTGGACAGGGGCACGCCACAGAGGCCAGCATTCAGTTCTCTCAGACATTCCCGCAGAAACCTAAAATACCCGAATCTCCAACCCCACTTGCTAGAACAATGGGCCACTGAAATCACAGGCCAAAAGACCACTGGCAGTGGCATTCCAAACCAGGACCCCACGCTGAAGGGCCCCTTAGAGGCCTTACAGGGCATGAGACCCCAGAGCAAGTGGCCTAGCCCCAAGTGGGCTTCAGAAGTTAGCCCATCACCCCCTAACTATAGGCCGCATCCAGCTGACAGGATACCTGTTAGTCATTTCAAAGTTTACAAAGGCACACACATGCGAAACAATCTGATCCATCTGTATCCTTTACCCTAACATGTAAGCTGTTTCCAAGTCTGTCGGGCAGCACACAGAGCCAGGCCCCACAACCCAGGTGGCCAACCAACCCTTGCTCTGGTACTTCCAGCACCACAGGTCATTCATTTTGAGCACCAGCAGGGGAAGTAACGAAACAGTGCTGTCCTCCTCCTGGTCTGGACAAGGACAGTGGTTGCCATCTGGCCAGAGTGGAGGGAAGAGACCCTGAAGATGCCCTCCAAGGAGAGGTTCTATCCTCCTCCACCAGCTCTTTTTTTTTTTTTTTTATTAGGATTTGGGTGAAGATTTACAGAGTAAATTCACTTTTCATACAGCAGTTCACATATACTTTGTCTCATGTC